CTTGTACCTGCTCCACGAGTGGTAATTTCAGTGCGCTACTACTCTTCTCAAGCGCTTAAAGTCTGTCTGAAAATGACTGATTTAGTGGTTTTCGATAACGCTCAGCAACTTTCTAATTGGAATCATACGTCTATTCCCCAAATTAAAAAGTTAATTAACACGTTTTAATTAATTATCTGGCTAATTAGTAGGTTTTTGGCAATTCCTGACGTCCGCTGGGGCTGGTAGTTTGTTCCCGTAGAGAGTTTCTTCTTTTTTCAATCGCCCTAATTTTTAGGATTTTTGAAAGTCTTCGCAAAAACGCCCGGTATATATATATCTATATATATATATATGGTTGCTTTGACTTTAATAAAAGACTACCTCCAAAATCGCATGCAGTATGTTTATATTAACAACAATTATTCTAATTCACTCAAAATAAAGTACGGTGTTCTGCAAGAATCTATTTTGGGCCCGCTCTTATTTCTTCTTTATGTGAATGAGATCACAAATATTTTGGAATCCCCTGAGCTGGTCATATGCGCAGACGACACTAACACGTTTTTTGCTTCAACCTTTAAAGCGACCTTAGAATCTATGACAAATAATTATCTAGACAATCTATCAGTGTGGCTTCAAAATATTAAATTACAACTAAATGTAAATATATATATATATATATAATTTTCACTCCCGTTAATAGGTGCGACAACACTAAGGTGACAATATAATTCGAAAATGAAATTATAGAGGAGGTTACAGAACAAAAATATCTCGGTGTGTGGTTAAATCGGAAGTTAAGTTGGAACACGCACATTAATAAGCTGAGCTCTGAGCTATCCCGAGCCATCGGATGTATTTATAAAATAAGAAATCTCATACCTTTGTGGCTAAAAAAATATATACTTCGCTTTATTTTACTCCAAACTGCGTTATTGCATTTTAGTCTGAGGCACGACATCGGCAACCAATTATAATAGGATGATCATCTTACAAAAAAAAAAAATTCTACGACTATTTGAAAATTATAAATGTAAGCCTCAAGTTCTCCCAACTGAACCGCTATTCAACAAATATGGCCTACTTAAAGTGAATCATATTTATTATTTTATGTTGTTACAGATAATACACACAAAGAAACTCTTCGCAATTTCGCCAGAAAACAACGTATCACACACTTAGACATAGAATCAGACGACCTCCAAAAATACGTACCAATTACGGAAAACAAACGACATGCTTCCAAGTCGCCAAAATCTTGAATAATACGGAAGATCTAATAGATTTTACCTGCAATATATTCCAATTAAAAAAAAGACTAAAGACACTTTTGGTGGGCAGTGACATTGTGTTCTCATATGTGTGTACTGCGTACTTATTAAATCATGTCCATATTTCACTTTTGAATTGTTAAAACATGTTTCTGACCGATTTGTTTTTATCCTTCTTTTCTGAAAAAAAAAACTATCAAGGGATAATTGATCGATCCTGTTTTTTATTGTTTCTGACTTCTATAGAATTTTATAGGTTCTTTTCTCTAACTTTCGTGTTCAAAAACCTATGTACCCCTCACTGCTGTGTTAGAACTGTAAAGGGGGCAGAGACCTCATCAGGCATCACGCCTTGGTCTCTGCCCACCTCCCGGTCAATCCGGAAAGAAAGAAAGAAAGATTATATAGACGAGATTTTGAGGTAGTAGTACGGCACGGCAAACTTGTGCATAACATTCATGAATCTTTGCTGTCTGAGTCAGTACAAAACAGCACATCTCAAACACCAATCTTTAACGTGCGAAATTCAGTCACTCTTGCATATCGCAGATAAATATTTAGAATTAGCAGTCCCACTGCATTGGCCAAATTTGTCATTTGCAGTGCGAACCAATGTTGCAATATATCAAAACCAACCCAACTTCGTTTTGTGTAAACCCTCAATGCCTCATTTATTGTCATTAAAAAAATTAAAGATGTTTACCATTTCCTGTAACGCCGAATTAGAGCACAGCTCTTGAGGAGGAGGAGGGGGGTCGAATGGGAGGGTATGCTCGTCCTCCTTGTTTGAACCTTCTCCTCCTTCCCTCCTCCTCCTGTACTCTTCCCCTCGTCCACTGTTCCTCCTCCACCCCTCCTTTCCTTCTCCTCGTTCTCCTCTCTTGAGGTATTTGAGTCGGACAAGAATTTACCAAATTCGTCTGACGTGCCACAGAGATGAGATCGATGGGTACAGCGTACCTATGTAGATGACCACTTGGATAACGAGTACACCACGGTTTTATACGTGCCTCTGTGATTTATGAATGGTGACATCACTTGCCTGCACAACAGGTAGCTGTAATCTCCCTCCTCATCCTCCCCCTCCCCTCCTCCTCCCCCTCCTACGCGTGCGTTGCATCATGGGACGTTTCCCATAATCAAACGCGCTTGTCCTTCGTGACGTCAGTCGGGAGGTCATTTGTGACATCATTTTGGGCGTTTCTCATGATGCACCGCGCTGTTACGACGACGGTGACACCGCTCAAGCCGGAAACGGGCTCCTAAGAGCTGAGCTCTACAAAATCGAAACATCCTTGAGCGTTCTGGTGCGTCTCCGGGAAGTGACCACTGTAACCGAACATCAAAACTAGCCGCGGCTCAGGTTTCTTGTATTCACGAAAACGTTTTGATGTGAATTGCATCTGATTTTGTTCTGACAAAGGTTGTGGCGCGTTTTATTTCTATTTTTGTTGATATATAGCGGACGCGGAGTCGACAAGATATCTTACATTTTTGTAGAATGACCTCTGTTTCTAAATTTGTCTCGATTCACTAAGCTATTAAAATTATGAAAACAGCAAGACGTTGCCTTTACCATGCTTTTGAAATTTCTAGTCGCTACTAAAATCACGCTGTGAGTAAAATTTTCTCGCAGAGAGTTTCACTTAGAGCGTGCTTCTCATAAAATAGATATATAAAATTACAAGGATATCCGCTCATAGGTTTCGAAGTAATTCATGTGAAGCTTATGCCTTCCGATGTTTGAGAATCAAAACCAGTCAGTGGTGCACAGCACCCGAAGAGTTATATACTGGAACGAGGTTTGCGTTTAACATAGCCAAAGCAAGGGGAGCTATCCTCCTCGAGCACCCTCAACATGTACTAAATCTATGCATACGTATACTTAGTTCTTCGGAGAAGCAAAATAAACATACTAACTTGGAGCAAAGTAAAACGAACCCCGTCTAAATATGGGTAACAAACACGCTTTAGTTGGGAGCGGGTAGTAATAAATGCTGCAATTGTCAAAGATATTTGGACCAGACATCACGTTCTCTGAGACGTTGTGTTGTGTTCGTCCCCTTCTATGTTCCTGAGTCTCGGGTTTTATTACCATGAATCATCACCAGCTCGCTTGTTTTTTAAGTATTATTTCAGACGTTCTCTAAAATTGTAGTGCTTTGTTGTTTTCCTTGCCTCAGAAACAGCAAAGGTGGCGCCGGAAAATCTTAAAATCAAGGATAATGCGCGGAACGATAGAAACACGTTAAATAAACGACCGTGGTAACGTAGAAAGTTCAGCTAGGAGTCATGCCCAAAACAGTGCACAATCACAGGAGGGAAAAAATAGAAGTGCTCTTTAGTGTCTTCTATTTTCTTCCTCCTGTGCCTGTGCACTGTTTTAGCTATGTCTTGCAAATATTTGACCTTTAACGCTGTATTCTTACGCCATGCCTCAAAGCAGACGGCCATGGTTCCAGAGTACCCTCTTCCCTATGAGTGATTCATACCTTCCACTTCCTCCTTGTTATTACTAGGACCTAAAACAGCAAACACAGCTTGAATATATTTTAAGAAAACCTTAAATGTCGCCTATGTTTATACCCCCTACGGGTAAAGAACTAGCCAAAACGGAACACGTTTGTCACCAAGCGACGCTGTGAACAATCAGGTGGACTGCAAAAATATTTGATTCCCATATTAAATTATTACCAGATAGCCTGCAAGCGAAAACAAATTACGAGTCAATAAAAAAAAAGAACACTGCCATAAACGGAGTGGAACATCTCATATTTTCCTTCGTAGTAAATAAAATAAAATCATAAAAGAGCGTCTATGGCGCCACTGACATTTCCAACAAGTTAGTGCTGCAGCAGTGCTGTCTCTACCCCTGACGCACGGGGCAACCGGACATAAGCTAACCGCACATAACCGCAACGGAAAGAAACTCACCGGATAAAAGCTCAACAGACAAAAGCTCACCCGTTTCTTTACACAGCCGGACAAAACCTGACTTTTTGCTTTTTTATTTCTTGAAGGGGGGGGGGGGGGGGGGGGGGTGGGGGGCTACTTGAGTGAAATACAAGCTACGCTGAAGTGCGGACGCGATGAATATGGCATACCGTTTTAGGAGGACTGATACCCCATCTCTTGCAAGGGAGTGGACAGATAAGTCTCACGAGCACAGAAGCAACACTTTGCGACCAAAACATAGGTCTTTGAAATTAATTGGAGCTGATAGGACCTAGCTTGGTTGAATGAAAACATGCCGAAACCGTCTGATAAAAAATGCGAGAGGTTTCAGGCACCCCGAGATCTACGAAAACTGTTGAAGGCAGGAGCGGAGTGCATTCGATTTTAAGCAATCGATAAATAAACTTGTTTTCACTCTAATATAAAAAAAAAACATGTGGCTGTTAGATTTAATTTATCGTTACATCGTAGGACCGCACGCAAGTGCCTACATTGTCCGCACTCGTATTAAAACCAACACGAATTTTTTCCCTATTAGTTTTTGTACGGGTTTGTGAAAAAAAAATTGGCGAGCTTTTGTCCGGTGAGCATTTGTCCTCTGAGCTTCTTTGCGGTGACATCTTGTTCGGTGAGCTTTTCTTTAAAGATTCGACGCAAGGAGGGGTGGGCGTTGAATTGATGTGTTCTGCGTGTCAATATAAGATATGCTCCATTAATTTGACTCTGCCCCATTCACCTGTTGTTGTTCCTTTCTGTCACTTGAACGTTGTTTATGTTTTCTTTCTATTCCAGAACTCACCTGGGGCGCCTACGGTGAGTACTCCTTCCCTCTTCAGTACATCGTTTAGTGCGGTGTGAAGTTTGAAACGAAATAGGACTGTAAACCGTACCGATCCCGCGTAGGCTTTATGGCCTTGTGCGAGTGCTTCCAAGCTATTGTAAAAATATTCCGAACTCATTTTACATTCACTGAATTTGCCTGTATGTCATTTAAATTTTCCTCGCTCTCAAATTTTTGCCCACAAACTTCAAATATTTTAGAGCAAGGCGTACTCAAATTCACAGGGATTTCTCTTTTTCGCGCCTCAGTCTGTGTTATTAAACTGTATCCTTTCTGCAGTCATCCTGCACACTGATCGTGGCCAAGGTGGAACACCTTGGTATACGTCTGATATACGTCTTAATTTATGAGCTTTCTGTTGGATCGTTGAACGCTATAGAAATAAAAGTCCATACTAATCTTGGTGACATTGTCTTTTTACTCTTTGATTTATTTCCTTACGATATTCAGATTGGGACTAGAAACACAAATTTTCACTTTTTTTGGTGTTTGAACTTGAAGGCGAGAAGTGGCATAGACGGCAACCGGATCAAAAGCGTATCTCCTAAACTGTTCTTTCTAGACTTCGTTTTTCTATTTATGATTTTCTGAATACGACACCAGCAAGAAAATAGCGTCATATTTGTGTGTTTTGATGATAGAAAACTTATTAACTAAAACATTGTAAAAAAATTAATAAAGACATTTGAAAAAAGGTGCGCCTACTTTTACTATAGATGATCGTCCATTAATTAAGAAAATCCTGAATTAAATCATATTGAGAAGCCTCCCAGGCTACCTCCGAAAACGGTCTTCGACTTCAACCCATCGTTCTGTGTCGAATGATACATACTAGAATGATGAAGATTGATAAGAAATGTGACAATTCCCAATGTTTGTTAACATTTCAAATCCCCACCGCTCGTTTTATTCTTTATTTTTCCAAGTTTTCTGAGGATATTGTACCAGGGATTTTACAGTCACTTGAATAAAATGTGCGCCTTGAGAAACATATTTTTTAGCAAAGTAGGTAGATACTAACATGTGTTAACTTATAGAGTACACTGTTATTTGTGCATCTGAGCGTCACCAAGTTGACGTAATACACTGCGATATGTCTTGCGGCTAGTTCACACACTTGCGGCCGACTCGGACCGACTCCGACACGACACGTGTTTAAGCCTGTTATGACCGCCATCGCTGTTCTGTGGCCCTTCGTAAGCAATTACGCGCGGCTAAAAAACCGGCTGTGTCGGAGTCCGTCCGAGTTGGTCGGAAGCGTGCGAACCAGACAGTAGATTCTGCAAGGCAGACGATCCTCCTCACCGTGGGGGAGGAGAAAACAGGCTACGGTGGACAGGATAAAAGGGGGAGAGGAGGAAGCGGAGGAAAAGTGGAAAGGGTGAACTGGTCGTCGGTCTTTAAGGGCTTCGACAAAGTTAACCACAGTATCTTTTTGCAAAACGCGAGGACTTTGGTTTGTATTCTATCGATTGTGACCAATTGAAGAGTTGTTTTTCCTGACGCACAAATTATGTTTGTGTTTCGGGTTTTTTGTCTGACCTCTATTTATCATTTTCCCGAATACCCCAGAGAAGAAATCGTGGCCCACGTTTTATTATTCTTAAATGGCGTTTTACTTTTTATGAAAAATTCCAAAACAGCATCATTTGCCAATGGCTTAAGGCTGTGTGATTGTACTGGTTTTCTGTCTTACTGCGCGGTTCTTCAGGATAACGCTTTAATAGGTTTTGAGTTGTGTTCACATAACTACGTTTTCTGAAGAAGCTGACAACGAAAACAATGTCTATGATTAGGAAGCTTGACCCACTTGTATTTAGTCGCACCAAAAAGTGCACTGTGATTGCCCAAGTGTATGTAATCAATTATTTTGAAAATTAAATCTAAAACTAAATTTTAGTCACCATGTTTTAGCACTTTATAGCCCCTTCCTTACGAATCTTGTTACAATAGCTCAGAAAGCTGTCTCTATTGTCTGCTTATTTTGTGTGGTAGTTTAAGTAGTCATTGCCCTCCAAATTAAATGTAATTTTTACCTTTGTGTTATATTAATGATTGTGCTTTATCTCCTGCTGGACGTGCTAAAGGACCCCTAGCTAAACTAATGCTTAATGCACATTTTTGTAACAGGAGCACTTTTAGAAGGAAAATGAGCGCAATAGTGCGTTCATAATTTTACTGACCACTTTTTTTTTTACTTCGCCACTTTTTACGCATGTTTTTACTGCTATGACGGTATACCAGTTGTTAAGCTTAGTGCCGTTATGTGAGCACACCGAAATAAAGATAAATAAGTAGATCGCAAGAAATGATAATTTCCCTTTCTCTCTATTTGCAGGATCATCAAAAGCTTCTGTTTTGCGCGGTCGGTGGCTTTTGTATATCGCGTTCCTCTGCAGCATCTATAAGGCGTTCGTGCCGCACTAACCGGCGAGTATACCTTTTCCCTGTCATTTGTTTCTTTTTTCTTTGCTTCTTTTGCGGCCTCTTATATTACTCCACACATTAAGCTCATAGTATATAGATAAATAGTGCTATCTTTCTATTTCCTCGAAGCACATAGAGATGCAATGTTTACTATGAACTTGAGCCACGTTTGTAGAATCCGTGTGCGGATAGCTATTTAACGCTGACATTCAATTTGCAGCACCTTTCTCTTTCCACAAAAGCTGCAGACGGGAATACTATATTTCAAAACCTTCCATGCAAATATTATCTAAAGCTACATAAACAACAAAACGAAATTGATCTCAGAATCGGAGAAGACGTGGTGCTACGGGACTTGGCCACATCTGGGTCCGGGGCCTGAACTCCAAACTATTCATGTGCGATCCACTTCGTAGAACGGCATAACTGTTTGATGAAGCTGTGAATTATAGACCAGTTGTATACTTGAAACGGATTAAAGCCATCAGCGCGTGACCACTGAACCAGAAAAGCATAAATAAGGGTGGCGATGTGGGTTAGTTGGTTCATACTGACGAAAAGGCAAACAGCGCGCTAGAAAACGGGGACAGCGCTTGTCCTGTTTGCACTTCCTCTAGTCCCCGTTTTCTGCGCGCTGTTTGCCTTTTCGTCAGAAAAACATAATTTACTCCGTAGCAAACTTAGTGCAGTTTTGTTTCAAAAAGTTTTTTTTCTATTGCACTTTTTGCGATTAAACCTGCAGTGATTGCAGCGATAAGATCTCCGTAGAAATCCTCTAGAAATAGGTAAGGCTATTAACAGATATAGCAAATATTGGTAAAGCCTATCGTTTTTCCAGCTAAAGAACAACACAAAAAGAAATATATATTAATTTTTTAGATATCAGAGCGCAGTCGAGGCTGCACATCACATACGGGCACGCATTAAAAGTAGAAGTAATGTTTTACTCAGTGTGATTCCTTGTTTAGCCGATGACAAAACCAGCTGGGAAATAGAAATAAATCCATATCGTTGTACATTTGTGGCTGTTCAATTAGTCCTATCAGTTTGTTGGACCGAATCCGTTTTGACACAAGTTAAAACAAAGTATGGAAGCTGCAGTGTAGAAGCCTGAAAAAATAGGCGAAAAACTCAAGGATTTATAAAACTTTATCGTAACAAGTTCTTTCGAGGGTTATAAGCGGGTTAATTTGTAGCAATTTGTATTTATTCAATGTTAGTTCGCATTTTTTTTTTGTTTTTTTGTATTCTTCACATAACATCTGTGTAATTTTTTTATTGCCAATGGGCGGCGCAAAATTCTAAATAATGCCTGGTAAGTTACCTAAGAATAGGTGTAGGAAGATTTGGGCGATTCCTTTCACAATTTTCGACTTCGCTGGAAAAAGGCAGGTTGTATCAATGGTCCTTTTTGAACTGCTACCCTAAATAAACAGAAATGAACACAATACGTGGAGTTATTGCCTACTAAAATTACGCCTGTTGCGTAAGTTCAGCAGACGACTTTATACTGGCAACATTGAAAAATATCTACTTTTTCATACTCGTGTACGTCACCGGCGCGAGGACGCAGGGGGAAGGGGGGGGGGGGCGGCGACCCTGGAAACCGCCTCTCCGTTTCCCTGGTCACCAGTGTACGACATTCGTTTTCTGCTGCCTCAGGGTCAAAAGTTCCTCTGCACTGAATGGAAATTTTTTAACCGCCGTAAATTACACAAAACAAATGCAGCAAGAACCTCCCCAGGTATCACGCCAGAAGAATGCGTAACTTGGGCAAACGTCTGGCAAACATAAGGGCCCATATTCGGCGCAGTTAGGTTTTACACCGTGGCACTCATCAGTGCAAAAGTACGGTTCCTAACTATATAGCCTTAGTTGGGCGATTTTAGGGTATTCCAAAGTTTGGCTGTCCTCTCGTACAAAAGATGAGCTGCAAAGTTGATGCCATGCTTGAGCCATAACTGCCATAGTAAATCATAATTTGGGAACTCGGGCATACCAAAGTTTGGCGTTGCTCTGGTCCGCCGAGGAGCGCCAAGGTTGGTGCCATACTTCAGCCATAACTGCCATAGTAAATCCTGATTTGGGAACTCGGGGCATAGCAACGTTTGGCGTTGCTCTGGTCCGCCAGAGGAGCGCCGAAGTTCGTGCCATACTTTGGCCAAAACTGCCATAGTAAATCCTAATTTGGGAGTTCAGCCTAGGTACCACGCCAGAGAAATGCCCAACTTGGGCAAAAGTCCGGCAAACGTAAGGGCCGAACTTTGGCCCAGTTAGGCTTTGCACCATAGCGTTCGTCAGTGCCAAAGTACGTTGCCTAACTATAGCCCGAGTTGGGCGATGTTACGGCATGCCAAAGTTTGGATTTTCTCTGGTCCACCAGAGGAGTGCCGAAGTAGTGGCTTACTTGAGCCATAACTGCCAGAGCAACGCCTAATTTGGGTATTTCGGAAATGCCAAAGTTTGGCTTTTATCTGACCCACCACAGGAGTGACGAAGTAGTGCCACACTTCAGCCATAACTGCCGGAGCAACGCCTAATTTGGGTATTTCGGACATGCCAAAGTTTGGCTTTTCTTTGGGCCGCCACAGGAATGATGAAGTAAGTGCCATGCTGGAACCATAACTGCCAAAGCAACGCCAAATTTGGGTATTTTCTTTGTTTGACTTTTCTCTGGTTCGCCACAGTTCTTCAAAAGTAAGTGTCAGATTTCAGCCATAACTGCCGAAGTAAATCCGAATTTGGGAATTCGGGGCATGCGGAAGTTTAGCTCTTCTCTGGCTAGCCACTGGAGTGCCAAAGAAGTGCCAAAAGTTCCAAAGAAAGCTCAGAGGCCTGCAGAAGTTGGGAATTTCTCTGGTGTGCAACAGACGTGCTCTTTCACGCGCTCCAACAAAAAAAAAAGAAATAAATAAGGGTTGGAAAAATGATGGTCATATCTCACCATCTGCGTTCCCACACAGCGTGGCGGTACTTGGCAGTGTAGTGCCAATACCGGCTGAAGGTCGGTTCCAATATCGCTCAAATATCTACTTTGGCCCCGCCGTTCAATATCAGGCAGGTATTGCCGTACAGTACTTTTTCCCCGGTCTAGCGTTCGCGCAATATCGTGTGAATACTCTACGACGCGTCACCTCCGTATTGGCCGCACGTCGTGCAAGTCTGTGTTGTGTAGGAAGTTGCATATCATTTGTCGCATATCCATAACATACACGGACGAACGAAATTTTTTCGAACGCTCCCAGAAGTTTATTATATCACTATCATTCCACTCAACGTATTCTCGGCATATTTACAAAGGTCATTCTAAACTGTAAAATGAAAAGAAAATGATAAAATATCATTAACACAAATTTCATGTGAAGCAAAACTCATAAATTAAAACACAAAAAACCGCGAAGATTGACAAGAAAGCAGAACTGCTATCAGAAGCAAACTTGCAGTGAACTTACTAATAAGGCGCGAAACACATGTACGACGAAACCTTCCGATCCGACGTGCGGACTGCCGGAATGACCTTGGGGGGAAAGGGTTTTCGTAGCATCGGAGAGCGTTGAAAACCCTCGCCTCCGACCGTCGTATTGCGCGGTCGGACGTCGGATCGGACGGTTTCGTCGTACATGTGTTTCGCGCTTAAGAGTGATATCATGTAATCCTTGATAGATGCATAATCCGACTCGGGCAGCCTGAAAACACAGTCGAGGCAGAAGGTTGCGCACATTCAACTGACTTTTTGTCGTCGGCGAGGAGCAGTTTTTTGTCGAAGCTCGTCCAACAAACACAGGACAAGAAATCCACCAACGTGATCCGGCAGTTTACAACCAAAAAGCACGGTCGCGTCTGCAAAGCACCAAAACAACAGAGCACTAAAGAGCCCACTTGGGAAACCGGACCTGCGTGGCCCGCTTATTTCTATAACTTATACTATTTGGGCGTGTTGGTGCTTTTCAAAAATTTAGAAAGTGGAGATACAAGGGACGATACAGACGGGACGATCCTTCAACTTCAACAACATTTATTTTCGGCTTCAAGCTCAAAGCCCGCCCGCTCCGTGGGAGTTCGGGAAAGGGAAATCTTAAGGAAAGGAGAGGAGAAGGAGGAAATGAGGAGGTTGCCAAACGAGGAAGGGAGAGGAGGGAAGGGGACTCGAATAGAGGTGCGGGATAACGGAACGAAAGGAAAGGCGGCTTCTGCCGGTGACCTTGTCGCCTTGCCAAGTCTGTCAGCGTTCGGCTTGCGTTGTGGGCCTCAGAAAGATAATCTCCTTTCTTGAGAGCGAAATGGAAGGGGTGCTTATGTTTTGCGGGCTTGTCGCCATCCGATAGGCCTCGATTATTTCTCTCCCGACTCGCTCGCAGTGGCCTCCCATGGCTGTCGTGCCGGCGAAATTAGGAGCGCAGCCGGGACATTTTCTCTCGTGAATGACGGTCGGGTGCTGAGAATCAGAAGCACCTCTTTCGGCATCCATTTGATGTTCTCGGAGTCGGTCGTTGAGGCATCGCCCCGTTTGCGCGATTTGCATGGCCCCACGGGACAGGAAGATCGCGTACACTTTCTCCGTCATGTAGGCGGTGAACTTGCTTGCGTGTTTTTTTGGTGCAGCTGAGTTGTGAAGGTTCCTCTCAGTTGACTGCCCTAGTCATGTCGCCGAGTCTCGATTTGCACGTGAAAAACACTTTTGTCTCGTATTTTGAGAGGAGACCTTTTAGGCGATAGCTTTTAGACGGGAGGCCAGCCTAAGCCAACAGTGCGCACGGCTTCGGAGAGCAGGCTACCCTGCAGACTTGTTTTGGCTACCTCGCAAAAATTGGCTAAAAACGCCTGGGCCAGGTCAGCCGCCGAGACTTCAGGCGGTTGGCCCTTGAGTCTCGGCCTGGATGTAAGGAATACAGGCCGAGGCGGGCCTGTATTCCCCTTACATCCACACAACATCTCACCAACTAAAAGCTCTCACCTCAGAACACGACACAAAGTGGGGCTCACATGCAAATCGAGGCTCGGCG